CTTCATTAGTTTCGACACTGGCATAATGCTGTGGATCCAATCAGCTGTTGGAACCAAGTCCTGCCAAAGACCGGCATCTTCCGGTTCTCCTCTAGGCCGGGCCAACAAAACACCTGCGAACTGGTCAGGCGAGTCTGCATCGCGGCGTGTATTAATTCCGTTGCATGCATACACCAATGTGTATGTGTGTAATGTGCAACAAGTTGCAGTTGCTGTTGTCTTTAATACCTTATGCTGAGATGCGCTAAGCTGCATTTGTAAGAGAGTTTCACATTTTCAACAACTAAAAGTTGAATTTTATCCGTATAAACCTAACAAAATATCGGTTCAAAAATGACAACTACACAAATTAAGAACAGATTCTTCAATTCTTATGATCTAGCAAAGGTATTCAATCTTCGTCATGCGCAATGTTGGCTTTTTTCTTGTTTAATATGCAGATTGTGTCGCTGACTTTAATTCTTTGCAACATCGTCGATCATTTCGCTGGTTGTCGTCTGTCTTTCGGTCTTTCGGTCTTTCTGTCTGTCTGTCTATCTGACTCTGGCCGCCCGGCTGGTGGCATGCAACTTTTGCGCGTTGCAGAAAACCATGTTGTACAAGCGTTGTCGTCTTGTAAATCTGCAACACACACAAGCAACATTCAACCAAACATCGACAACAACAACTTCAGCATCGATCCAGCCGTGGCAAGGTGGCGAAGAGAATGACGCAGTTTCCTTCCACAAATTTCCTTGGCCACATTTTTAATTAAAAAAAAATATAAAAAACTACTTGCAGAAATATGCCGTGGAGCAAATAAATTGCATAAAAGAAAAATAAAACTCTGGAATAAAATGAATAAAAGGCAACAAAAATAATAAAAAGCAATAAAATACAGATGCTTCTGCGGGTAACGACGATTAAATGCCCTGGACAATTTCTCATAAGAATAATCGAAGGAATCAAACTTTCTTGACTTATTTTGATGTCAGAATTTAAAACCAAAGTTTTAAATATCTAAATGCTAGTTTTAACACATCAATCTATCTTTTCAAAAACCGGCCTAAAGTGAATATTTGTCTGTGACAGCATAACACAAATCGACACCTCAATTTGATGATTAATAAAATATTTCACAACATATTGAATATACCCTCGCAATCTTATATAAATTGCAATTTTAGTCTGCTGCTGCACATGTTCAGCTGTGACTATGGGACTCATTGGTGGGTTTGCGATGGCGCTGTGTGGGCTGATACCGATTGCTATCTATCGATAGTTAATCGCAGCTGGTCAAAAATTATTAATAGGTCAATAAGAAGTTTCAATAATTGGTTATGGAAGCTGATAATGCTGGTATATTTATTACAATTTCGCACAACAAATTTAAGCGATATTGAAATAAATGCAAAGTGTGATCTCGATAACTTCTTCTTGAAATGAATCAATAATTGAATAAATAACTAACTTCCTTGCCCATCTCTAAGTATTAAATGAGTGCTTCTTCTTCTTTGCCTCCCCATTTAGTCTCTGTGTGTGTCTGTGTGCGGTGTGTGTTTCTCTGTCCATCTGCCTGTATATGTCGAGTTTGAATTACGCTTACAGGAATTTACAGATTGCGAACATTAATTTTCATGCATTGTACGAGTTACAAGTGTTCTGTGTTGATATCCACATATTTGCATACCCTAATAATGGCAATTATAATTATCTCACGTCCTTTGAAACGTATGTGTATTTGTACAATCAACAGGAGCTGTTCATTAAGAAAGAGAAGAGATTCCAAATACTGATAAATATATCACTTCTAAATTAACAAATCCAATTATAATTTCGACATGAAATTTATCAGCAGCAGCTGAGTTTTTTAAAATCTTCGACCGTCTGACCCGAAAATGGAATTCCAATGATTTTATAAGGTATCTGTAAAATTGATGTAAAGAATTTTTATAAATGTATTTTGCACACCTATCATTGGCAAATCATTTTAAGTTGTCAAATAGTTATATAAATATTTTTTAAGTAAAATAAAATATGTATGTATTGGCAACGCATATTTATGTAAGTCAGCACATGCATTTTGGCATGTTTTTCCTTTAGTTTGCCACTCTCCGCAATTTCCGGCCAGGAGCATGCGCAAATCTTTCGAGTTTACTCTGTTCGAATTTCATCTGGCTGCGGTATGCTGCAGAGTTATGTATGGGGCGTGGTCAGAAATCGTGTACACTTATAGCATATACATATATACATACATACGTATAAACATGTTTGCCTATATGTATGCATACGTAGTTTGTTATTTTTGTATTGTGGGTTGCCTCTTATCGTTAAGTGCGGGTTCAAATGTTGATAACCCATGACAACAACTCAAGCCGTCAGCAGACACACAAGCAGACATACACTCACACACACACATATTAACATTAACATACATAATTTCAACAACAAGCCCAAAAAACCAAATATACCCAAATGAGAAAATCGTTTAAAAATGCAAATGCCGCCACATCGACCAAATAGTATTCAAATCAGTCCATGGGTCGACGTCGTCACCGTCGTCGTCATCGTCGTCATCGTCGTCGTCGCCGTTTCCTGGTGCTGCATTTGTCAAACGCTGCGGAATTAATGAACCGCAGCGACAATGCCGATTTGTATCTCATGGATACTGCAGCAATAACAATAACAACAGCAACCGTAACTATAACTATGAGTACAAAGCATATTTACTGCGAACCTTAGCACGCGTGAAATATTTTCACATGGCACTTAATTTATTTAACAGGGCTCGGCTTGGACCCCAACCCAGTTTCCATGTGTGAGCGACCCACGTGGTCACAACTCCAACTGAAACACTGGACAACAGCTCACCTTGTGCTATTTGTCCACCCTCTCCCCCCACCTTCCGTACCCCAACAACCCCCAATAAATGTGGGCTTTTGGTGCACAGTGCGCAACGTTCGTCAGTGAGGCTTTTTTATTTTTTTGTTTTGTTGCGATTTGCCGTCAATTTGTTTGCCAATATTTGACAGGCAGCGTCGCGTATCTCAATAACCCCGCTCCGAGAATTATCAGCATTTATTGTATCTCTGTGTGTGTGTGTGTGTGTGAGTGTGTGTGTTGCACAGAGCCGCAAAAATATTGTTCTATCGATTCATTTGTGACGCGTCGTGTATGCATGCCAAGAATTTATGCCTCTAGGGATTCGATTAACATTCTATATACACAACTAATCGAAAATGGGTTAGGCCTATCTGGGATCCGTGCTGTTATTCGAAACGCTTATGCGTTGGCACTTTTACTGAAAAGTGTAAAATTCCATAAACCTGTTAAGCTACAATTTTCAAGATGTGTTCATTAGAGCAATGCAGTACCTAAATTATATTATACGAACATTTGTATAAATTTGTATATATTAAAATTCTTGGTAAACCAAGTCGATATTGTCGTGATCAACAGACTACTATTTTAAGTAATTTAGCTGTCATATTAAAATTAATAGAAAATTGAGCGCTTACATTGAAAACTTTTTTGTTTTTCAAAATAGCAACTTAGTTGCTTTATTATGTTCCTCCCACTTAAACCAGAGTTTAAGTTAATTAATTAATTTGTGATTCCATAAACAATAAATATGTGGTAATATATGTGGTAAGTCGCAATTAGAATGTATAAATATTGAATAGCTCGTCACGTATAAACGTAGTTGCCACGTGTCCCCTGCCAATTAAATGGGAATGTGAAGTGTGAGTTGGTTCTCCCATATACTCGTATATCGGACCACAAGTCTGGCCATCTTCTCATTATTACAAATGCACTTCAGTATATAAATATATTGCCTATATAGTGTCGTTCAAATACGTCACTTTAAAATTATCGCAGACTTATTTACTCAGCGTCTAACACACAATTGTCGCTGTAATCAATTTCAAAGCTGTCACTTTGACACTTGAACGTTTATTCTCCACTTCTTGTCTCGAAGTATAAACATATATACATACACACATCCATACTCCATATCTCTATATAGTACTTTATACTTTAGCTGTGCCAAATGCCGTAGACAATGCGTCTGTTGCCCCATTTAAAAATACGCTCAAACACATACATACATATCTCATATATTCATTTATGTACATTATGCATTTGTGTGAGTCTTCTCTCGGCATTATGTATTTATCATACAAACCATTTAATCGCTTCGAGTTTGGTTTCCTCTTGTTTTGCTAATATATAATATTTGCCGTTAGGCCAAATATTTGTTCATTTGTTTGTTTGTTTGCTTGTCGCCTGTTCGAGTATTTATTATTTGTGTGCACTTTGTAGGTGGCTCACATTTCGCTCGGCTGTCAACGTTGTTATCTTATACGGATTCGGTGGCAATCATTGCTTGTTCGATGTTAGCACCTAGAACCTACCACCTACCACCTACCACCTAAATATCTAGATTCTGGAACAAAAGGCACATTATTCAAGATGTCAGCATGGAGGGATTACTTCTGAGTTACACGTTTGAGCGTGTCATAAGCTGACAGCTTGAATATTCAACAGGAAATGAGCTGGGGACGGCATGTTATGAAATTCTTTTAATATGCAGCAGAATACTCTTCAAACGCTTAGAGATACTCTCATACTCTCGATCGTTCACAATGGCCATCCATATAACTGAAAGATTTCCTTTAAGTACTCATGAGCTATAAACCAATCAAGAGATTAGCCGTTTTTTCGTCGATATTTCAATTGAATTCTCGAAAGTTTTTTATTGATGGTGATTAGATTTATGATAATTTGATTAAGTTGACATCATTTATTGGTTCCTGATAATGATACCCCTAAATTATCAGGTATAAAAAATATATTATTGTCATATTTGTAGTCACTAAAATGATTGCTTGTGAAAAAAAAACTGATAGAAAAAGTAAAATATTCGACATGTTCCTAAAATTATTGATGATATTCAGATGAGGGAGGAATAATAACTCAATTCATACGTGTTTATCACATTCAGAAATAGTCATTAGTAGTACTTTCTTCAATTGATTTGTACTTTATCATGTTTATTGTTGTTGTGATTATTATTATTACAAGTAAATTTCTTCTATTACGTTCAAGCTCTTGGTCGTATCATCATGTAAGTTGCTTTAAGGCTATAAAGATCACCATGTGAAAAATACCAGGTAATTCCCCGACCATATTGATCCTTATCGTATTCGCCACCCAAGTAAAGTCCATTCAGATTGCTGTAAATTACGGATGAAAAGCATAAGTATGTAAATTCAACAAATCAGATGATGTATTATTTTCTGACAAACCGAATAAAATAGTTGGAAGACTATAGACTATATACATATATCTATATATACGCAGTTGATTGCGATAACCTACCTGAAATGTGTTGTATTGTACCACCAGGCTCCTGTAAATTCGACAGCCAAGTTTCTGGCGCTATTATCATTGTCCCGATCGTATGTGGAGAACTTCACGTTCTGATGGTGTCTGAGCCCATCTCCAGCGTTGCCAGAGTAGAATCCCAATTTAGTTAGACTATATGAATTGGCACCGTTACCGATGGCAAATTCGGTGTATTGGGCAAAGCGTTGTTGTCCTTCAAAGTCAGCTAGGTGGATGTAAAGCTCGTAAGGTTGTGATGTAGTTAGGGCATTCAACTTATCCAATCCAATAAAGTAATTCTTATCCAAGTCACCGAATCCTTGTTGATAGGACGCCCAGTTCCTATAAAAGTTGATGTTGACATCGACACGTCGCTGAATGACCATCCAAGGGGATCCCGCAATAAACACATCACAATAAACCGACATGACGGGTTGACCTTTTGGTTGGATTTTATAGACACCATTTTTCTTAGCTTTTGCAGCTGAACATGACTCAGGATACTTCTTGAAAGGTTCAACACCCACATCGAGCTCGGCAAACGAGAAAGTCAGCCACACCAGTGGCAAAAGAATGCGGACTAGAGTTTTCATTATCGTCCGATAGTTGATAGTCCATGAAAGAACTGATCAAATGTTGTCCCTTATATAGAACACTAACGAAGGCCAAGTTATTGTTAAGATTACTTTAGTTATGACCAGATTAGTTAATTATTGCACGCATTGATTATTGCATTATTGCATATAATGGGCTAATAAAACAAATGTCAGCTGACTTAAAGGGAAAATACAAAGTTTTAATGTCATAAAAATATAATACTTTTACAACTGCAACCCAAGGAGAACGTTAGTTTTAAGTTGATAACTTCGCAACTATTCTTTTGCTTAATGTGCCACAAGCGTTTCGTTAAATTTGTTTTTGGCACACATTTTTTAGTTCTCAGGGAGCAGCCTAAAGAAATATATGCTATAATCGCTGCATGTGTGTCGAGCTTACTTTTGATATTTAACTAAAAAAAACAGAATAAAAACCGCTGATAAAACCATTTTGTGGATGGCAAGTTCAAGTTCTGGTTCGCCACAAGATATCTTTGAGTGTATTATTATTATGAGAAATATTAACAGAATGACGGGTCCGCGATTCCGCGATTGCGCTCATATTATATATCCGTTTGAGTTGAGGCCGATCCGCTCCATATCCAATAACCGTGCCTCCAAGCTTTTGTTATTTATAATCGCGACGCCAAAGTGTTGTCGGATCTGTGGCTTCACGACTGGCGCTTGTAGTGGTATTTTCAGTGAATATCTAAATATGTGTATTCCCGATGACTCAATTGGCGCACAATGGCTAACTTTCAAGTGAAGAAATTAAACTCGAAATATCAGATCAAGTTCTCTACAGATTCAACACTCGCCCATTCATTCAGTCATTCTGGGCAGAACCAGCTGATCCCAGCACTTTTTTTTACAACTCGGATATATATGACACTTGATGGTCATTGTGTGTGCCCCGATACTTTTATTTGATTATATGTACTTCTTTTTTTTTGCTTGTCTGAGAATGTGGTGGGAAAATTTAGGATTGCGGTCGTAGGAATGTTGATTTATACTTGCTGCATGCATAAGAAGCAATTTTTTTTTTTATAACATTTGAATTTATTGCGGAAGTTTCAGCTCGTTTTGTGTGCACACATAATATTTATATAATGATTTTTAAAAATTAGCTTAGTGCTGATCGGCATATGTGAAGAATTTTCCGGGAATTAAAACCATGTTGCAAGAATGGTCGAAGCTGGCAGAGGTAACAGTATTGTAAGAGGATCACACAGCAAGTATAATCCCAACTTATTTGACATTTCTGACATTAGTGCTAGACACTATCAAACATATATATACATATGTATGTGCTTGCCAATTCTCAACTCATATCTTAATGGCATCTTTAACACGAGCGTAGATTTATGGAAACACACACACAGATAGACTAGACACATTGTATGAGACAGCTTGTAAATACGAGTACGCTGAAATTATAATTAACCAAATAAAATGATGATGGATGGAATATGCGAATAAGCAACTGACGGCGTTAATTGCATACTCAAGCAAAACAAGTTGCAAGATTTGCCAACGAAAATGAAAAATCATTTAACAAATTGAATTTGCATTTGCAAACACAGTCCACAAGAGCATGCTGTAAATATTTATATTAAGGCACCTCAAGACTAGTAGCAGTAAACATGGAATTTATTTCTGCTACTGTGCAACTAACTGAAATTAATAGTTGAACAGTTTTACTATTGAGTATAAAAACAAACCAAATAATAAATATTTAATTATTTTAAGGTAATTACATATAAAATAACAAACACTTAACACACTATACTTTGGGGTATAGTTCACTTTAGTGATGCTCAAGAGCGCGCTTGAGCCACCCTAATGGCAGGGGAACCAACTGGCGGCATTGGCACGCATTTAAAAATGTGCGAGTGTCGCCGCAATTGAAATGCTTCTCAGACAAACTCAAAGCAATTCGAACTGCACTGAAATGTTTTTATAATGAGTTAATAAACGCACACCTGTTGCCAACAGCAACAGCAAAAGCAACAGCAAGTTGCAACCGCCAAGTAATTAAGAGATTTGCCTCTTGCCCCAGGAACAAATCCAGTTGGAGTCCAACCGCGGTTCACATAAATTACAGCCTTTGCGTTTGCTTTGCTTGACTTTGTTTGCTTTTGCAATTTTAATTGCTAATCACATCGATTTGTAATTCTGCGACAAGTAATTTATTTGCCATAACAATTGCATAGTATTCGACTTACAATTGTGCCGCCGCATCCATAGATCAGTCATGGCGAGTGCGGGGACTACTTGGGGCGCCAGTAAAATGCTAAAATTGAGAACCGCAGAGGATGGGCTGAAAGTTAATGAGTCTGTTGGTCTATGAATAATGCAGTCATTGATTCCACGTAATCTTAACTGATTGATTGCATTTCGCAAGTCCAGACATCTTATTGAAATAATGTATATACTCGTAGAAATAGGCAAGTAAATCTTGCCCAAAAAAAGATGAATAAACTCGCACACAATATTGCAGTTTTCAACGTCTGCTGAGATTCAATAGACAACAAAAGAATGACAAAAAAACTGGTTGAACAAACGTTTCAGAGACATTCCGAATTTGTTTGCTGTCGAAAATATTACAATTTTCATTTGTAAGTTTTTCGCACGAGCACAAGACAAAAAACATAAACGAAATTAAATAAAATAAAATGCACGAAAATAAATTCACAGCATCTAAAAAGATACAGATACAGATACATACAGCCCACACTGGCTGGCAGCTACTTTTTAGGCACTTTTACTAAGCAACAACAACAACAAAATAGAGAAAGATACTAAAAACAACAACTTTAGCGCCTAGCTGGCGCAGTTTTCTCAACTAAATGCGTGTATTTTTTTCGTATTTTCTCGTATTTTTGGCAACACGAACAAAAAATCCAACGAGTTTTCCGAAATGTTTCGCGACTCGTTCTTTAAATTTAATTTTTGTATTTTTTTTTTTTTGTTCCTTTTTGACATGAATAAACTAAAGTGCAAAAGCATATAATTTTGAACTTGGCAGAAGACAGAACGGCTGAGATGAGAGGACAAGCTGTAATGAATTGTTTGCATAGATGGATGGTTGGAGGCATGTATGCATGTATGTATGTATCTAAGCACTGACTGATGCAGACGACAACTTTCTGCAATTACATAGTTTGTATCTGTATCTGTAAATGTAGTACGGTCAATGCACAGGCGTCGGCGTTGGCGTCGTCGTCGTCGTCACATTTGGCCAGACAGTGAAATTGTTTGCTTTTGTTGTTGTTCCTTTGGGGCTGACCAGCCACGTCACCATCACCCATCACCCATTGCCCAGCCGGGCCTCGTCGACGTCGTCGTCATCCATATGGCAAACTATTTTTAAATATGTTTTAATTATTTTCTGCCATATTCCTTAAAGCATTGACTATAGTCGCAACCGTCGCCGTCTGCTGCTCCTCTGCTGCTTCTGCTGCTGCTGCTGCTGCTGCTGCTGCTCCTCTGCTCTCGGCTAGCAGTAATTTGGGCCGCCTCAGGCAACATGTGCAACTACTTTGGAGGTTTCTCCATTTGTTTGTGCTCTTCGTCTATTTTTTTTTTTGAATGTTTTTTTTTTGTGATGCGATTTTTTGCTGGCTGCTACTTTGTTGTTGTTGTTCTGGTTGCAAAATACATTAAGTGTGAAGTTTCTGCTTTAGAAATATTATTGTCGCGTCTCTCATAAGTGTCGCAGCTAGCATGTAATTTTGCATCTTTCAGTCAGCGGGTCAAAAACACACAGAACAGCAAAATTAAGCAATAAATAACACGAAATCTTAATTCTACAATTAAAACTTAATATAATACAGTTTAGAAACATAATAAACTTTTCAAATTCAAATACTTCTTGCTGCCTTTCGATGAAAATTTTAATTTGTCTTTTTCTCGATTTTGTGTAAACTTCTTGAGAAAAATTATAATACATAAAATCAGTTCCCATTATTTTGGTCTACATCAGAAATGTATCCATTTCATTTTTGCGTACTTACTGTGAAGAATTGTATTGATAGATTTTGATATTGAATTGCCAAGTCGCTAGACATTAACACTCTCATAATTAAGTAGAATTTGAACGGAAAAAATCAGAGCAAAAGCCCAAAATCATGCAGAGCAGTGTTGTTTTAGACTCTTATAATGTGCATTTCATTTCATGACAATTTTTATATGTACACTCGAATAATATTTTGGTATACTGTCGTATCATTAGGAGCCTATATATGAATAGGGATGCCGCGCCCAGCAATTCCAACTGCATCTGTGCAGTTCTGCTAGAGTCTAGAGCAAGATAAACAAAGGTCAAACAATATGCCGAGTAGCTGCTGAGTGTGCGTCTCTCTGTCCATCCGTCCGTCCGTCCACGGCCTTTGTGGAATACAATTTTTCTATTTACCTAACTGGCAGTCGGGCAGCAGCAGCAGCAACAGCAGCGGCAGCAGTCAGCAGTCAGCAGCCAAGTTTTAAGTCGTTTCTTACTTACATTCAGCCTGCCTCTGCCTCTCTGTCTGCCCGGTCTAGGACAAGTTGGCTAAACAAACCGAGACCGCCGATATGCATATGCTCGCTTTACAGGCTTCTCTTCCCCTCTCTCTCTCTCTCTCTCTCTCACACTCTCTCTCTCAGTCTGTCCTCAGCCGGACAGCAGGCGGCTGGCAGACGATGCCAATGAAGCGAGAAAAATTACTGTTTGTTGTACTTTGAGTTGTGTATAAGTAGTTGTGGATTTGTTAAGTGAGTTTGTCAACATGAGGCGCGCGCATCGCACCACCAGATACAAATACTGAAATACTGATGTGAGATGGAGTTGTACACTCAGGAAAATCTATGTACATTCTCTATTTCTAGATTACAAAATGAACTTTTCGTTTCCCATTTAACTTCCCAGCAATTTCGTTCTAAAAATATACATTTTTCAGAAAACTAAAAATACATATGATTTTTGTAGAATTGTCATTTAATATATTTATTTATTTATATAAAAAAAAAACGATGTTCTATGGCATATATATGGATAAATATTTATTTTAAGTGTAGGTAAAAGTTGGAGAAGTCGCAGATGAAGATAGAGTGATACGAACAAGTATCATGGCGTACCGTTAGAGAGACGTTACCTGGAAGCCTCGACTGCAAGTCCAAAATGACCAAGCCCAACAGCTGCAAGCTTCAAGCTTCAAGCTCCAAGTATCCAAAATACCAAAAGACCAAGACAAGCGACTTGAAAGACTGCAAAGATACGATGCATTTTTCTGCAGAAGTCCAAGTCGATGTCGATGTCGGTTGTCCATTGTCGGCATGGGGGCTGGTAATTGTAATTGAATGCCAAGCCCGGCATGGTCACAGAGTATTTCTGCTGTTTGCTGCTTAGCCTTGCTGTGTATTGTGTATTTTGTTTGTTTGTTTGTCTGTTTGTTTTTGGCTACTTTGTCTAGGCGCACATTTATGGGTTGTTGTCTCCGCTAAAAACGGAACCAGACGCGAATCCGACTTCTCTCCCTCTCTCTCACTCTGTCTCTGTCTCACTCTCTGATTTCCTTCAACTTCAGCTTCAGCTTCTGCTTTAACATCTTGTTCTGCTTCTGCTTGAGCTTCAGGCACGGCTTCCACTTCTTTTACTAGCTGCTAGACAAGGTCCGGCAATGGCAACACGGCTATGTCAGCAATTACTCATTTATGGCCAGTTCATTTTTCGCATCGGCTTCTACGTTTAGTTTTTATCCATCCACTGTCCCAGCCCCCCTTTCAGAAACTCTCCTCTCATTGATTTATGCATTGATCGTTAGTGCGTGCGGTTTGTCCACCGCATTCATGCATAAATCGGACTGCTCGGTCCTCCTCTTGATGCCATTGCTGGCCTTTTGGCGTTCTTGGGTGTCTTCGTCATGTTTTGCTATTTATAAAGATTACTTGCAATTAAAAGGAGTCCAACAGATCTCTCGGCGCAGCTAGCATAAAATCATGCAGTCCAAGTTGTTTTACTTGTACACAACATATAAATCTCTCTCTCTCTCTGTCTCTCTCAATCTCTGTGTCTCTCTCATCGGCCTGTTGGTTGTCCGTTAGCCCGTTACCAGAGTTCAATTGCATTGATAGCCCCATTGGCGTCAAATGTTGCTCGCTTCTTGTTGTTGCCCTGTCAAGTCACACAACTGGATTTCCAGGTGTGCCAATGCCACAACCAACAACCTGTTGCTCCAAAGCACTCAAGGTCTATTTTCATTTAATAACAAATTTTTGTTTGTGTCTAATAGCAATAACTGTTATATATAATAATAACCGTAAATATATGTTACAATTCTATTAAGCATTTTGACCGAAATATTTGGCCAAACCTCTACCGAAAATTCACTGCTTTTGAAAATTTGTTTAGCTTTGAGAAAGTTATGGCTGACACATGCCATTTTTTATGGTGAGTTTCTTAAAAACAAAAAAAGAAGTACTGATATGCAGCACTAACATTTCGTATTTCTACATAAGTTACGTACAACAATCATCTGTTAGCTATTATCTGTAGAAGGACAATTCTCAGTAAGAGTTTCGTTTACGTCTTCAAATACGAGTTGACAACAAGATTCATAATAATGATGGCTCATTACGAAATCATTTTAAATTTAAAATTTATATTGAATGCGATTAAATTCACATTTCGTGAAGGGAGAGACGCTTCGCTGGCATTTAATAGCCATACACACATTTAAAATGAGCTGCCAGCTCGAGGCTGACCTGCTGATAAGGGCCTTCGACTTAAGTATTTCGATTATTGCTCGTCCGCCAATCTATCTGCTGGCCGTTAAGTGTTCATTCCGAATTTGAACTCTGACCCATTCTAAGCAATGCGGTGTCAGCACAGTTCTGCTTCTATTTTGCGAGCTTATCAGCCTCGGTATTTGTAGGAATTGGTGATAAGGCAAACTGAATTTGTTTTTTTTTTTGTTTGTTGTCTCGTCGTTGGCCGCAATCGCAGTTCGAGAATTCCATTTTAATAGGGCATTAAAAATAAATATTTGTGTTTGATTCCATATGCATATGCATATGTATGTATCTATGTACGTATTTGTTTTGTGGTTGTGTGCAAAGTTGCCACCGACAGATTATCAGTTTCAGCCGTCAGCTTAAATTGAGTTTTAGTTTATTTTGTTGGCCCCAACCAAATGTAGCCCACTGTGGCACTCGAAACCACAACCACAGCGACTTTGGGGTTATCATGCTGATAATTTAATGCACTGCCTGTTTATAACAACATTTCATTTTTCAAAACTGAATTTTTTTTTTTTTTGAGTTTTAGTTTTATATGCCATTTGACACAGTTTGACATGCAGTAGCTACTCATAAGAGTTTTGTAACTACCCCGACTATTCGTCTATTTGATGGACTTATCAGGTTTCGTCTGACCCTTAACCTCAGTCGCACATTGTCCATGATGTTAACGCATGCATCTTCTCAGTTCTGTGCGGCACAATCGAATCGGAGTCTGAATTTTAGAAAACTAAAGCAATATTTGAAAATGCTCAAATTGGTTAATTATATATTATAGAATGAATTGGCTTAAGTACAAGTTCTTACTTTAATTTAAAGTGACAATTCCATAATTGCAATTATCATTTTATAGTTTGGTTTCCTTTCTTAGTGAACATTATTGAAAATTTTAGAAATAGTTCAGTTCGTGTCAGTTGCCCAATTGCCAATTGTATAAATATATGCTTCTTGTGTCTGTTGAGACTATTTTGTCTATTTGGTCTTTGAGTCAGTTTGTCAGTTTGTCTGAGGTCTAGCCATAGAGTTCTTATTTTATTTGTTTCTTTCTCACTTTGTAGCTTGTAGCATTTGCATCTAGCATAGCTCACATTTTTATAGCAATTCATGTCTATATCGCTTTTGTTTTTGCCCGCTTGCATTTTTATTTTGATTCGTCTATGCGGTCTTTTATTTCTATCTTTTTTTCTACTTTTTGTATCTTTTGTCAGCGGCGTCGACGTCGTCGTCAAGTGAAACTGAAAATTGCAACTAAATGCCGTGCTCATCACTTGCAGACACTTTAGAATGCGCGCTGTGCAAGTATCTATGAGATACAAAGACACACACACACACACACACTTGGACAGTCGGGCAGTCGAGACGGACAGACAGAAAGACAACGACCAGACAGCAAATGAGACGCAAATGGAATGCTGAGGTGCATATATATACATTTCTGGTATAGAGAAACAATTGGGATAGAATAGGGATGTTAAATACCTAATCGAGTCCGATTCAAATGCAATTAAAGTCGAACTTCTTCATTTCCCATCTCCAAAGTTGAATTTTTATCTGTAATTGTAGTTAGTTTGTTAATAATATTTCCGTTCTGTGATACTTTCTTGGTTTGTTATGATATATTTTCTGATTTTAGTTTGGCTTCACATTTTTTGGGTACGACACACTGCCAGCAACAATCGGGAAAATTGGCCTTTGTATTTATCGTGTCCGGATTTTCACAATTGGCGAAGGTCGCTGGCTTTGGGCATCTGCGTAATGAATGTTAAGGGATGTTGATCAAAGTGTGAATATATACATAGCTTACAAATGATAGACGGCATTGCCATCCGTGTCCTGGCACACAATAATTCCGCAAGTAAGCTCATCTTGTACTTCTTCACCAACGGCCATTTCGCCTTGGGGTCCCTTGCAGCCATTTGCTAAACTCATTGCACATTGAACTGTTGAACCAACGACAACACAATGTTTACCTGATTCTTACCTCCTTTTTCGAGACGTACCCATTGAACCAAAGCATTGCCGCCAATCGCCAGACAATAAATTATAATGCAAATCTGACGAGTGTCTATCATGGTTATTCAGTTAACCCAATCAATGCAACAATGCTTCTAACTGTGGCACATCCAATTCAACTGGCTTTTATAATACGAACAAAATCAATGTCCGAGTACGAGTTAGTTGTTGTTAGTTGAATTGATTTAGAATAATGTCAAAGCAACTTGGGACAGTCTCTCAGTTAAGTATTGAATTTTAAGCAACTGACAATGAAATGTGTTTAATATCTGTATCCATGCGAATACAAAGTGCGTTCCTTTGGCTCCTACTGCCCGTGATCTGTCTGCTCTCTCACAATATGAATGCCACGGGCTATCGGCTCGTCAAGGTGAGTTAGGGATCAGTTATCAATTGCAGAAGAGTGTGGAATCTAAGCCGTGCAATCCTTAGCGACATAATCGAAAACGCATGGTCTGGCCGCCAAATCTGTATGCGGACTTTGCTGCCATCAACAGTGTAGATGGAAAGGAAATTTCCTCGTTGGATGGACCTGCAGGTAGTGCAGATCCTCCAGGCGGATCGACGGACCAGTCCAAGTGCAATAATGATGGCATTGAAAAGAAATGTGATGTGAGCAAAGTGTTTTCGCCCGGTGATCCCAAACAAAAGTCCTCCAGCATTGCGGTGAAGGCCGCACAGGATGCAAAGGCGGCCAATGATGCACAGCATGCGGCTGGCCAATTGGCTGCTCAGCACATCAAACAGGAGCTGGCCGAGAAGGCCTTTCAGTCGGCAAAGGCAGCCGAGGCGGCTCTCACCGGCAAACAGATGGTCGTCCAGCAATTGGAGCACGAGGTGCAGGAAGCTAATGCGGTTGTCGAAGAAGAATCCGTTTCCGTGCAGAATACGGAGAACAATATGAATGCAGCTGTAGATGCGGCACGTGCGGCCACCCAACAATTTGAGGCACTCACAGCGCTCCAAAAGACCTTCAAGGATAATCTCTCCAACATTCAGACCGTGGCAATGGGCTCCCAACAGGAAATGACGGCCAAAGTGCAGCTTTTGGAGGCAGCCAGAAATCGCCTGGCAACACTCCAAAAGCAATTACTAAACGCTCGCGACGATTACGAGAAGACAAAGCAGGCGGCGTACAAAGCAGCCTGCGCTGCTGTCGAGGCAAAGCAGAAGGCATCCTCAACCAGCCTTGGGGAGCGAAGACAACGACGACAACGACAACGCCAACGTCCGCAAAGTGGCAGGCAGCAACAGCAGATACGCTATGCTGCATATTAAAAGCAACATTATCATTTATAATTATATATTTTATAAAAACATTTAGATGGCTAAAAGTTATGCGGAGTTGCGACATCGTCTCAATTGATGTTAAGGAGGGTATAAAACTGGAATCGAAATTGAAACCGATTAAACTTTAGAACTGGAACTTAAATTTATAAATCTTTAATACCCACATACCGTATATCAATTCCGGATTTGTACCGATTGAATCGGAAACTAAAACATCGAAAAGACGACTTAAACTCAATTTTTTATGAGTCTATATACAGCTTTGTTTTCAAACATACCTCTGCATGTAGATATGTATATGGGTACATAAATATGGCGAATATTTATGATACATATAATAATACATGTGCGATTTGCTTTTGATATTTCTGTGAATTTCACTAAGATAAGCTTACTTACATTTGTTTTGTAGAAGTTGATTTGACAGGTGCAAAAACAGATGTCGAAAGGGTTCCGAGTTCCCTTTCAAAAAATGTGTATATAAAGGCCGATCCACAGTTATGACAACAGTTAGAATTAGTTGCATTGCCGGCCAATTCGATAGAACATGAAATACTTTCATCAAATAATCGGTATCCTGATGGGATACGGGCTCTGCATCCGAGCGTTGGTTCATTACGAAAAATTGGAAAAGGGAGGCAAGGATACATAGTATCGGAGTTACCTAATCCGCGATTTAACGTATCTATTATTTAGAGAATGGTTGCAAAAGCAAAGAAGGAGCCGAAATGAAAGTGGGTGAAGTTGTTGATGATCCGCTAACATGCGGAGTCTTCGTTTGTCAGAATGTAGATGGCGATGCCCTGATACACTAGTAAGACTCGTATCTGTATCGACATTATCTCTAGATCTTTTTGCGTTGATATTAATATACCCAACAGTTGCCAGAAACCAGCTCCTTTCGAGAACTGTTTAACCGATGGCGTTTCTACAATCACTCCCTTTCCGGAGTGTTGCTGGAAATGTGTAAACTATATTGAATGTGATGCTGCTGCAGGTAATGATGCAGGTGGTGCAGGTGGTGGAGGAGATGCTGGAAGAGCTGCTGCTGGTCTACCACCTCCTGGTGATGCAGGTGGCGGTGATGCAGCTGGTGGGGCTGATGCATATTTTAGAGCTTTTGCAGACGCGGCTGATAATCAAGGGAGAGATGCTAATGCTGGTGAAGGCGCAGATGATAATTTACCGCCAAAAACATAGGTCTAACATGAAGTTAAGAAAATGTACATACAGTAGATCAAAATAGTAATTTTAATAATTAAAACTTAAAAAAAATCACACAAACAAAAACAAAAAATATATTTTTCTGTCTTTAAGAACTAGCTGTCTGTATAAAATGTTTTCAAACAAGATAAATATTTTCCAGATCATGGGGAATGTATGTTGCCCCAAAAACAGCAGCAAAAGAAACAATGGAGTTGTTTAAATTTTGGTAATTTTTGATAATAAACGAGCAGTATTTAAAAATAAAGCACTCACATCAGGTATGCAGAACAATTGTTAAACTGCTTAAGCAAAATGCGCAACGCATTGAAGCCACTCAAAATAAATGTGAGGGCAATATGCACTTCATTTATCATGTGTGGCAAAGCTGACCCAAAAAAAAAGAAAAAATACACCAGAAAATCTTAAATGCTAATGAAGAAAAGAAAGACGGGAGAGCTGCAAGGATCATCATTGATATTTCGTGTACATTTCTCAACACCCAACTCCCCGCCCCTCTGCCCAAGCCAGGGCGCGTTTTTTAATTAGCCGCCGCAGGGTGAATGCGCACAATCTTCTTCCAAGTTCGGAACGAGCGGCAAAACCGACTCAAAGCCGAGGAAGGGGCCGTATGGTGGTCCTTCAACCCGAAAATGAGGCAACCGAAAAATTGAAATTACAAAACAAAAAAAAACAAAAACTACAGGAGACTCGTAGTAGTGGCAGTAGTAGGTATGCGTATCTGTTATAAGAAAAATTGGGAACCGGACCTGACAATGATCTGCTCGTGAAATTAAGGCAGCAGCAGCAACCGCCAGCAAAATCAGAAAAAAGAAAAGCAAAAAATACAAAAAAGCTTCCCGAAACCAACAATTTGTGTGTTGCGGCTGACGATGACAGTCTGAGACCCTACCAACTTTGTTGGGGAAACGAGTTTCAATATTTGCTAGTGTTCAAAATGAGGTTCAGTCGTCTTCAATTTACATTTCATATTTTGGTTATTTTTGTGAGAGGCTACAAGTTGGAATATCCATGCCATAGGCCTAAATCCCATTTTTTTTTTTCGTTTTGTAGGGTGCTGTGGCGAAGAAACAAAGAAATCTTGCTGCTCTCATTAATTGGAGGGAACATGTCGAAAAATGGACAGGCGAAAAGAAGCGAAAAGTGCGTTGCAATAAAATACAGCAAACAAATCAAAAGCTAACCAGGTTAACGGAAATTTCTTAGATAATAAAATGCTCGCTCATTTTATTTTGATTTTTGTTTTTTTGTGAAAAGTTTAATTACTGCAATGTTTATAATGTATTTAATGTTAAGCATTGCACACATATGTTTGGACATGCATATGTTAACGTAAGCAGTTGCTACGTAAAAGCATCTGGCATTTGGCGGCTCGAACAATGAGCGATCGAACGTAAAACAAAAACCATGCGGTCGCAACATGTGTGCTGCGAGCAAGACGACAACAGCTGGTATAAGCCGGCTTTGGCATGTGAGAGAAAGCGAGATGGCGCTAGTTGCGAGGCAACAACATCAACAGAAAACAAATGTCAAGCTAATAGAAATGCGACAACAAATAAAACGCACAGCGGGTAAAGAGCAAAAGCGAGCGAGGGAGAAAGATAGAATAGAACCTCTCCCTCTCTCGCTGACGAGATTATCAATAGAGACAGAGAGCCAAAAAAGAGAATGACCGCATGTTAATATTAACTAACACACCATGCAACATGTTAATGTTAACTTAGCAGACCCAACTCGGTTGCAAATCAAATTTTACTTTTATACTTTATATCAAACTTGTTTCCCTTTTTACCGTTACAGTTGATCGTGTGCCGCGTGCGCTGTTGGACGTGTTTCCGCTCGCTCGCTCGTCCGCTTGCCGCCCGCTCGTTTCTCTTTTATTCCCATTCGAGGCAGCCGAACTATAAAAAGAAAAAAACCTTAACTCTATGTGTTGCCACCCGGGTGGAGTGCAGGAGGAGGAGGAGGAGAACAACCCATAGACACCACACGTATATTAAAATCTTAAAAATAACACTATAATGAAAAAAGCGTGTGTTTGAAGACTTAAAATGAATCTGTGAAATGCTTACAAAAAGTGTAAAAAATAATTTGTCAAATAACTTGATGAAGTAAATGCAGTCAACTTAAAATAAATTCAAAGGGTGTGTGTGTGTGAGTGTGTGCGTTATGTGTGTGTTCAGGGTTTTAACACCTTGATGCAAGCGTGTTTCACACATTTCCTCAACCAATTTACGCAAAATATTTATACACATCAAATAAAATAACAAAAATCTGCCATACATTGCTGTGCTTTGACACTTTCCACGTGTTCGGTTTTTCCAGCTTGGACAGACAGACATACAGACAGAGATCATGAATCCCGGCGAGGGTTCGAGCAAAAGAATTAAATGCAATCAAGCACATTTATCAAGTAATAATTAAGCAAAGCTCCATAGAATGGCTTTTGCAAAATAATAAAAAAAATCACAACAAAGTGGCAACTTTGAAAATGTTTACGAACGGAAATAAATATCACGTCATGATTTTATAATTAATATAATATTTGTAAAATGATGATTCAATGAGTCAGCAGGTAATCATTTTGTATGCTGTTAATCATTAATATTTATTGCATCAATAAAATGAATTGATTTCTTTCTTAGTAGCATGCCTCCATTTAACTCGGCACTTAATCTTAATCTATTCCATTCCAATATTTCAAGTCTTTTTTCAAGGTCAGCAAAAGCGCGCCAAAATCAATTAACATAACTGCCGATTACATTATTAACATATTAAACATTCTGTATTTTAACATGGTATTTCAAATTTAGAAGCAAAAAAAGTGGGAGTTTCCTGACCCAATTTTCATGCACGCTGCTCAATATAAAGCTGATAAACCAATCACGCTATCGACGAAAAGTAAAATACATCACTTATATTGAAATGACAGACATACAAATATTTCTATTTATGTAAATTTGTACATCAAAAATTGTAAGGGAATATTAATCAAAATTAACGCCAGCCCACTAACATAGTTGTTGTCAAACACTCATGTCAAACAGGCTTGATGTTGCGTAGCTTGGTTCGATGTTGCTTTACAGATGGTTGCGTATTCCTAACAGTCTCATTGAGAATTAGTTGATTACGAAAATTCATCTCATTTTTTGAATTCATATATACATGATACGTCAACAAAACTACACATAGTACATTAAATCCATTATTTAGTTTAATAACACAAGTGTTATATATGTTAAAGCTCGTGTCTAACAAATTGGTTTGATGGTGTGCGCTTGGCGTTCGATGTTAGCTTGCAACGTTGTTGTGCTCTCAACAGTACCATTGTGAGTTAACATTAACATGATGTGACAACTTCGCTGTTAGTTCGTTTTGAAAAAAACATTTTTGAATTTCCGCCCGCCTGTTTCTCAATTTTTTTGTCGCCGCGTTTCTCAATTCTTATTTGGTGCTCGATCGCGACGGTTAGCACTGCTTCGGTTGCTCTCGGTTGCTTAGTGTTTAGTGTGTGGTATGCATGCATATGTGTATATGTATGTGTGCGTGTACATGCATATGTATTTCCGGTGTCACAAAAGCACAATACGAATAAAGTGTCATGGCAAAGATTCAATTAAAGTTTATCCATTACAAACAAAAAATAAAAAAAGAACCAGATAAATAAATAAATATCGAGCGTCGCTGCATTACATTAATTTATTGTATACGTTGTGTGTGTGTTTGTGTGCGGGGCTGACAACTGGCGCCAACATCGATTTAATTATAAATACATCAACAAATAATAGCGCCATCGTTTACGTAGTACGTTGATGTTAATTTGTGCACTGCCATTTGAAATAGTTACGTTACACTCACACACACACACGCTTTGCTGCCGTTGGTAGGCGTTGCTTTTTGCTTTTTTTTCGCCTTGTTTTTCTCTCATTCTTTTCGCCTTTCGACATCACGCGGTCCGGGTACAAAAGTTAAAACTTGCCGTTGGCGTCGGAAACACACCCGTAAAAATCTACAACTCAATGCTTTGCCTATCTGTATTCTATATTCCACATTCAAAATTCAACATGCAACATTCAATTGCCAATATGTAACAACTTCCAAATAGAGATCGTCTGAGGCCGTAAAAAATCAATTAACAATTTGTACTCTGCCCTAGCTATGTATTAATGAAAATCGACTTCTTCTTCGGCACGAATACTTTACATATAAAAATTGTTATCATTTGACCACGATGTCCGTTCCAAAGTTGAAAATGGCCTTTGGAACCAAAGATAATGGTGAATAATAATGCTATAAATGCACAACATACTCATACAAAAAAATTCCAGATAAATAAAACTTATATCAAAAGAGAGAAGAGAATTTTTATGTGAAATAATCAATTTGCTTGCAAGGACATCTGTTCACATCTTACCGGGCAGCATTAGATTCTTGATTTAAATAATTCTAATACTGTCAGGTAAAGATGTCGTCCGTGTCCTTATCCATCATAAATCAAACACAAAAAATAAACCGTATACAATCAAAAAGATAATAATAAGCACAACACAACACAAAAGATGCAAACTAATTTGCAACAAAAACCATATGCGTAAAAGTAAATCGCCGAAACAAGTTTTTCAATTGTGCGTGTAAGGAAAAACTTGCCAAAAGGGAGACAACCAGGCACAGATCCCCTCCTGCGAATGCCAAACCCAAAAAATGATGCTGAAAATTGGTAAAAAAAAAAAAAAACAAATTCACATATATTTTTTTGCAGCAGCAGCGACACGTTATTATTTTTATTTTTTGGATGACATCAGTTTTAGAGATCTTCGATGTCGCCGGGCTGCGTATGATTGTGTGTGAGTGTGTGTGCAGGTAATGGCTGTGGTAGGGGACAAAAAAGAGATAGCCAGCAGCAATAGCAGCAGAGACTGCGACCAAGTTGAGAGTAGAATCCATAAAAATATATATTTTATGGTTAGGCTTCTTTTTCCCGCCCCGTTTCATTTTATTGTTTATTGTCGCAGGGCTGCCGGCGGATTTCTTTATTTCTTGGCCGGCATTCACAGTGACGAAACCAATGTACGTTGATACCTGGCCCAAAACCAATTTGTGATCATAGTTCGCTTAAAAAGCAGGTTGAATTTTGCGCCATAATTCGTTTTTTACGATATTTAACTTGGAAATACAAGAAACATATATATTTTTTAAAGACCCACGCATTGCTTAGTTTTCAGAAACCAATTTCATGCTAAAAACTCGAGGCTTAGGTAAAAACTATAAACTCTTTAGCCGAAGATCAAACACATGCTGATTTCGTGCGGGAAATTATTGTGTTTCCCCTTTTTTTATTTTAGAAATTATAAATGTAGTTTTTGTGAAACAGTTGACTTCATATCTTTGGCTGTTAAGAAATTTTGACTGCAGATTTTCAGAAACCCATATTAATTTCATTTAGTGCATAGAAAACTGTTACTTTTAGAAATTCCCACTTCCTCTAATTTTATGGCAACAAACAAAATTATAAATTTCATAATGAATTCGTTATTCCACTTCCATTCTATTTACATAGTATGTGTGTCTAGCTAATCAACCAGCTAGCTATGTACAGAGATGAGCTAACAAACAGCTTCAGCTGTAGTCTCATCTATAAGTTGGTCAGCTCATCCCAAGATAAGATTGGAGCTCGTCAAACATTTAACGCCAAGGTACAAAGTGTCTATAAAAGCAACAAATACAAAAACCAGCAACAGCAAAACAACCAAGGCAATTGTCAAGAGTGTACAGACAACCAACTGTTGAAATATATATATATAAAGTATATATGTATATGTGTATATAATGTATAAGCCTATATAGAGACTAGTACAACTCACACAATACTCACTAGCATTTGGTTGTAAAGCGCTTACAGCACTTTCAACTTTTACAGTCGTTGAACACAGTGCTGTCCATTTTTTGTCAATAAAGTGGAAACGGTTTTAGAGCGGGTACGGAGGTAAATCTAATCAACGAAACCGAAAAAATCCGTAAAATACGGTATTTGCAAAGTGTTAGTTGTTGTGTGTGTTTGAGGTCGATGTTAATAACGACAACGTAACCGGAACGAATATAACACCTGTTGATGAACCTAGAAGCTCTACTAATGAAGAAGGCACATACTTTTCTCTTCCACTCTGGTTGATGTTCTCGATTCGAGAACACAGCTTCTAAATTAATGATTAAGACTGTTAACACAGTCGTAGCCTTCCACTAAAACATCGCAACGACTAAATCAATTAAAATCCGGCCCTGACTCAAAATGCATTAATCTTTGCACTGCATTTGAAATTCTTGCTCTAATTGTGGGGTCGGGTTTTAAGACACCACAACTAATGTATACATATTTAAAGACATTTACTATTGAAAAAAGACGTTATTGGTCTATTTAAGAAAATATTCAAACACATTGGTAGGAACTTATTCCCTATCTTGAAAATTATTTAATTTATTTGTATATACTTGTAAAATTTATGGTTTATCTGCAGGTATCTAACATTATTCGCTAGTAATAAAACAGGTCTAAACTAACTTTCTATAAAGCAGCCCATAAATGAACACATTAAACTATATATAGAAACCAATTTATGATATAGCTATTAATAAACCAATCTATGCCAAGTCCAAAGCCAATATAATTAAAAGTGACTTCCTGCTTAATGACAACGATTATCTCAAATTGAGTTGAATAATGTATACTTTTTAATATTCATTATAAATATTATAACAATAATAATTATGTTTGTTCGTCTAATGTGATTCATAGTTCACATTTCACAACTTGATTGCAAATTGTTTGTGGACTTAATGAAAACTTTGATGTAGTGTGAGTTACGTAATAAGTGCACACACACATATACACACACACACATGTAAGTCTAGGACTAATATCAATATAGAACACGGTCACTATCAAGCGAATAATTTCACAACCTGACAGCAAGGGGGCCCGATGGCAATCGAGAACTTAACGCGGCCAAACAGAAAACAGAACTCATTGCCGATAGGGAAAACACTTCACAGGTGAATAATGTATGGAGTGTTTGGGTACTCCAGCGAGGATTGTGAGGGGAACACTTTTGTTATAGTTGTAGGTGATTGTATCGATTGCGTGGCTGTTAATCAAAAAAGGTGACCAGAGACACTTGATATCCATGCGTCAAAAGATAATGCCTGTCTGGTTAACCTAGCAACGATCCAATAGGTTCCACCCAAATAAACCTTGTGTAACCCAAAAGCCCAAATTAATTTCATATCATCGCTCGCTGACGGGCACTTGACCAGAATGCCAACAAAATGCCAGTTATTAATTTGAAATCAAACTATTTCCCAACGTAATCGTAATCTTTCTAATTTCCCCAATTTTGAGCTGATTTGACTGGAAATATTTTGAGTATGGTTTCTATTTTAATGACAGTGGATCTTTCGGCTAGTTTATCGTCAAGTATCTTTTGCAATTTGTTTAGACAGCTTACTTTTAAAACAGGCATTTATACGTGGCAAGTCTAGTTATGCTCAAATCTTATCGGAGGCTTTTGAAACGCCAGCAAATGCAAAATATGCTGGTTGCCATTTGGTCACTGCGAAAGGTATCTAATCATGTAGTAAAGTGTATCTAATCATGGCCTTCAAAGTGAACTGCTTGAGTACCTTGCACGGTAAGAATCTAATCGGAACTTTAGCTATCGATAAAGTTATATTAGACTCGGACTCAATTCGAACTGCTGGCGCCTTTGATTCCTCAGCTATTCAGTCTAAAGCACAAAATTTCACCCTTCAAACGAACTTTAAACGACATCTATTGTTAGGTTTATTTCGATTTTTTGACATATCAAATATTTATATTAACTAATCAAAATAATAATGATGAATAAAATATTTCTAGGAAATGTTCGAGAAAGAAGACGTTGGATCTGTTAATGGGCCATAATCGATAAGTGGCCAACAAATGCTATTCAGCTCGATTGATGGCACCTAAATTCCAGAGTGCCAAATTTTTTTGGGAAAAAACAGCAATAATCATCAAGCCACCAATACAGCTGATAATTTCAATTTAAAATGCAGCTTGCGTTGTCGTCTTCTGAGTTTAGTGAACCTCTCCTGTAAATGTTTCTGCAAAAGCGACTCAAGACCGAAAGAATGAGAAGAGTGTAGACTCTGAGGCAGTGGTCAGAAGCCCGTTCTCTTTGGGCTAGTATTTAGGGGTTTCTTTTCTATTTTTTTCTTTTCTTTTTAATTTACTGTGTGCATAAATTAGTTAAGCACTAATTTCCAATTCCGATTTCAGTCATGCAAATGTTAATTGACCACTTAAGTTAAAACTTCATAATGATCGTTAATAATACCGAGCACGACGATCGAAACCGCGACCGCGAAGATCGTCCAAGCCAGCGACAACTGTAACCAAAAGAACAGGTTCAAATTGAACTTAACTAACCAGCCCCCAGTAATCGTCTTGGGCTCGTAAAAGATACATATGCTGTAAGACTATAGCAAAACTTACTTAGCACAAATTACACACAGTCACACACATCTATATATATATATATATATATAATATGTATATATATATACTCAGCAACATAGTCATGCGAAACCCGAGAGCCCTGGAGCCGGAGGCTCTTAACTGTGCATTAATGATCTTTTCTGCTAGCTCATTTTATATATTTTTCTGCTTCTCTTTTATTAATACCCTATGCCCATAAAGTGGGTTAAAAAAGTGTGTGCTGTCAACAAGCCAGAGAAGACGCCAGAAAATGTATATAAATAACTACTTTTGATCACACTTAACAGCTAAACATCGTACTTTGAGGACTGTCCATTATTTAGTTCTCACAGCTTGGTGCAGAAGTTAACGGCCTTTTATACACATAAAGACAAGTATAGGTGCACATGAGTCATAACTATAGTATTAAGTAATATAATAAATAAAGAATATGTAAATACTTTAAGTCTGTTAAATCAAACGTTTTGTTAATTATTCTTAAATAGGAAAGCTTTCTGAGTATTTGTAATTATTCAAAATATTCGCATTCAAAACAGTGTTTGCTAAGAGTATAATTTACTTAAGATTTAATTTAAGAAACCTTACAAATAAAAGTTTTATTTATTTATATTCAAGCGTTCTCTTTTATAGCAACATTAAGATGAAAGTAACTAAACTTTAGATTTGCTGGATAGTACCGGTAATATCAGTAGGATGATACTTGTAAAATTTAAGTACATTAAACTTAGCTGGAATTTTAATTAACTCTACAAATGGTTATTGTGAGGCAAACAGTGAACGAATGTTTATCTTAATTGATCGCCAAATTAAGGCACAAGCAAGATCACAGGTGTGAAATGTACTGCGATTGATCGACGAAGCAAATGTACCGATACATATATACATACATAGGTACCTCTGGATGTATGTGGGCATGTCTCGATGTACAATTGCTTACTCACGGTGTATAACCAAAGCCAATAAAGTGATTTCCTGCTCATAGTTTGAGTGCAGTAAAATGGGTCAAAATAGTAACGAAGCAAGTTGCAGCAGAAGCCAAACCATATAAGCGTCCATTTATCAACGTGCCAAAGCGGATGCAGCCGCATGACTCGTGCCACCTACCAACAACAAAAACAATAACAACAACAAAACAAGAGCAATATCAACAAAAACTGCTGCGCAATGGTAGACAATTGGCTACCCCCAAAACGATGGAGGCCTAGCGCAACTAACGTCTCCTCTTGCCCACAGATAATTGAACTTCCAATTTGAAGGCAGACATTCAAGCTGTTCCCCTTGTTGTGTTTGGGAATTTGTTGGATCTGCGGCCCGAGTCTAGTTGTATTCGCATTTCACATGAGGTGCTCTTTGGGGCACGCCTCCTCTTTAGCGGTGGCACTTGGCGGTAGTTGCTTCGCCTCGCTGATCATCAGTTGTCGAAGCGTTGGCAGTGCATCAAATTAGCATTGTTACCGATGTCTACTCAAGCCCAGAGCTGTGGAATGCGCTCTTTTCCAATATGTTTACCCATAAGGTAACTGTACGTTGGCATGCTCAGTTGACTTTCGGCCACGTTTTCCATAATTTGGTTAAAAATGTGTCCATGTTTGTTATTTTTAGAAATTGGTTTGTCAATTTTAATTGAATGGATTTTAGCTATAGCATATCTGTATCAGAATCCAACCAATCATTGACTAAATATAACAAGTGTTTTCAGATCTTATCTTCCAGTGTTTAAAACAAGTTTTTGAGCTGGTTGGCCAAAGGTCTATGTTCACTAATTAATTATTAATAAACAAATTTATATTCGAACCAAAAATCATGTTTCGAAATTTTAAATGCAGCTTTAATCTAGATGCCAAATCATGACCAAAAATAATGTTGCTTCTCAAGATTGAATCAAAGAGAAAGTGAGCGAGAGAGAGAGAGAAAGAGAGGAGGGAGAGAGCGAGATGAAGCTATGGAAGTGAAAAATTTTGAGCCGTGTCCAAGCGGACCTTTTGGGGATAAAATATGTAAAAGCGTATAAAAATTGACAACTAATTAAAGTTCATAAGATGTTTCCGAAATATTTATGAATGTACTAAAACAACAATTTCAATCAATTTGCTTTCATATTTAAAACTAAAGATCTTAAAACAATGCATACAATTGTAATTTTTTCAGCTCAATACTATTACTTTTTTTTCGAACTATGAACTGTATACGAGTAGCAGATAAATACTAAGTGTTGTTCTGTACATTGTTTATGGCGGTGTTTGCAAATTGCACCTGTATATAGCATATGATAAATAGGTAACAATTATAATTTACGAGCAATGTATGATTCGATATTTATGCATTGGGGCCACGTTAACCACCTGGTCTGGGCCACGCTCGTGTGGCTAATAGGCTAGGCCATGCTTAGAATTAAAAGCGTTAACATTTTAGTTTTCGTTTGTGTTGACATTTTATTGGTGTTTATTGCGTTATGTTGAACTAATTGCAAAAATTAGCGTAAATGATGCTGAACCAATTCACTTACAAGTCAGCTGACAAAGGCTGACTGCTACGAGCACTCAGCTGATAGACAAGCTTAGCACAGCAATTAGCCAGACAAGAGATCTGCGCTTGATAATTATGAATATGTATGAATTAATTTTATAAATGATCTGCATAACCCCGGCAGCTAAAGCACATACATATATACACGTATTATACACTCTATTAACTATTGCTAAATCACATGTGTACACATATACGAACACAAACACGCACACACACACACACACACACATATGCATATAAATTTAACACGTAAAAAATTAGATAAATTTGCATGGAAATTGCAATGAACCTTAACTCAAAAGTGCTAGAAGCAGAGACTGAGGAGAAGCAATGAAAACAACAACAGCAACAGCAAATAACTGGCTAGCAGGTGGTAACAGGTTAACATGTACACTAACCAACTAACAAATTAGTTTTTGAATAAAATTAAAGTTGAAATAAACTTAATTTAGTTGGAAAGGCATTTGACATTCATAAAATTAAATATTAATTTATGCATAAGCAAAGGTAAGTCAGTTATTTAATTTCTCATTCTTAAAACTTTGGGCATAATCTAGGTTAAGTCATTTGATTTAATTCTGTATATTATTTTCAGCTCGATGTCGATTTCTCATTCTTAAGAGCAAAGTTTACAATTTACAAGGCATTTCTTTCATTCAGTTGCTCACTCATCTCTACAAAGTTCTCTTGTTGCACAGTGTGTGCATGTTGCATTAATACTAGCTGTAGTTGTTGTTGTTGTTGTAATTATTAGCAAGTCTTCGTAACCCGTAGCTGACAAACGACATAAAATACTCACAAGTACAGATGAACAACAAAAAGGGGGTAAATAACAAAAAAAATACTACACAAAGATAAAGTTTTATTTTAGCCATCTTGTCTGCTGTGCTGCTACTGTTGGCCATTTTATGCATTCGGCTTTTAAGATACGATTTTTGAATTACATTATATACATATTTATATTTATATATATATATATGTATATGTATTTTTTTGTTTTGTTTTATTTATAGCACAAAATGTTGTAGCAAGTTTGCCGCCGCTGCCATCCTGAGCAGCGCAATGGAGCAACAGAGCAACAGAGTTATTAATGCTTGGAATTTTCATAATCGAAACGAGTTTTCAACCCGGCAGCCAGTCATACAGCCAGCCAGACAGCCGGCCAGCTAGTCAGCCGGCCAGCCAGTCAGCCAGGCAAGGAAGCACGCGCGTTCACTAATGCGACGGACGGAGCCCAGGTCCCAGAGCTGAAAGATCTCGACTCAGTGTTGTTGTTTCAATAACTAACGCCTCTCTCGCTTGCAAAAGTCAAGTTGTTGGCAAGTTGCGCTGAGCAAAGCGAACCAACTCAAGTATGGAGAAGAGACGGAGTCCAAGGGGTACGTGGGGAGACACAAGCTCCATGACTGGCAGTGGCAGAGTTATGGCAAGACAAGCACACGCCTTGCGCGAACAGGTGAAGCGTTTAACTGTACGTCGGCGGAGTCGGAGTCAGAGTCAGAGTCAGAGTCAACCGATCGCACCGATCGCACGAGAAGTTCGGGAGGGGTCTGAATAAATGAGAGGGGATAACAACCTGGCCAGGCCAATTGACTTTAGCTGGCCAACCTGTTGGACGTTGGCTGGTTAGTGCTCGTGCACCTCGCACACCAAAAATGTATTGTAGTTTCATTCCATTGCAGTCAAAATGATCTATATATTTACTTAAAGCATGCTTTTAATTAAAATAATAAATGCATAATCAGTTGTAATTTAAATTTCAAATTTAAAATAGTGTAATAAATTGCGCAATTTGCGTGTTAAAGCAACCGCTGATGAATAAATAAATAAATGTTAAATACAATTTTGGTAAATAAATATAAGATTTGAACACTAAATGCTAAGCGAGTCAAACAGAAAATGGCCAAATCGTTAAAGAAGATGAGAAGAAAAAATAAAAGTGGTTTGCGCATTGTGTTCGTATTTTTGCATATGGAATATACAGGTTTCACAGAATTATGATGGGAGAGGCAGAAACAAATATCATTCGCAATGCCGTCGGCGTTTGCTCACGTTGCATGCCACGACGTCAAAGGGTAGTCCCCGCGCGTTGCAGGTAGCACCAGCAATGAGCTGGGGGCCCCAAATTAACCTGCTCGACATCGATGGCCAAAAGCTGTAATTTGCTTAAAAGCAGCGAACAAATAAAGGGTTTCAATGGCTCGGCCAAAGCACAGGCACATTCACTGATAATGAGCCGAGAATGAGGGCTATGACTTCAAACCGAAGCTCAAACTGGAACCTGAATATATAGTGGAACTGGGGACACGGGACTCGAACCTGCAGCAGCCCGCAGGCCAGCAGAAGAGCAGTGACAAGTGCCTGTTTCCAAGCCGACAGCTGCCGCTGTTATTATTATTATTTTTTTTTAACTGGCCCACAGAATCATCTTCACTCTGCATAAGGCAGCGATGAGTATGCATTTATCTATGTTGCATCTACATATATACATATGTGTGGCCAGCGCATCCTGATCATAGTTTTTAATTAAGTACTTCTAGGCTTGACTTGACTTGGTGCGTTGCGACGACTTTCAAGCTTTAATACAGTAGCTATTAGCTTAACCATCACCGGAAATTCATTAATTGTACAATCATTTAAATATGCAAGGATCCACAAGAGCAAATTCAACTATGAGTTTAAACACGCTTCTACTTGTCCACATATATTTCGCAGAAACTTTTCGAGATATTATATATATCAGATGTCGATTTGATTTATGGTTTAACGTTATCGCATTATGTGTGTTTGCATTTTGTGATTTACACACTTTCCGGAGAATTTTCTCACAATATGTTTCTGTTTCTCTAGCTGAGGCTGTTTGCAAATCGAAATGCACTCATCACAATTGCCCATTCGATCATAGTTCCAATTACTTGATAACTTTCCATGTGCACACATTCTGAAAGCTAACAAGTCAGATTAGTCGCCAAGCCAAGCCAAGCACATTACTCAAAATCAATTGAAGACTGTTGTTGTGCGGTCCAAAAAAAAAAAACATTAGGCAGAAATCCATTAAAAACACGCACACGCAATATG